TGAGCATGCCGTGCGCCACGCTAACGACTCTTACGCCCTCAAGTAAGAAAGGACTGACTACGTTAGGTACGAACTATGTGTGGGGGTTATTTCGGCCTTCTGACGAGTATGGATCAGCTGTCTGGCTCAGATGGCACCCGATTGTAACGATGGCGCCATCTGAACCAGACTGGCATAGTCCAGAACCAAATCAGCGCGAAACTGGCGCCACGAGGCGTCAGCGTCAAACACGAATGTTATGGTCGTGATCAGGGCACTGCTTACCCCTGTGAAAGAAGTTCAAGTAAAAAAAAAGCTCGACCCTGGGCATCTGATGGTAAGTTATGACCGAGCAAAGGTGTTAACGTGTACCGCGTGCGGTTGCGTTGCGCCCTCAACACTCGAGTTTAGCTCCAGACGTATTACACTCCCTGATGTATTTCATTGCTAAGAGTATAAGGTCCCCTTCCCTTGGATTAAATAGCCAGAAAGCTTTTGGTTTTGGCACCGCTCGTATTGATCGATTCTACGGAGGAGCCCATGATCATACCTTTGCGCTGTGAATTAGACCCTGAAAAAACTCCTCACGAACTCGTTCATTCAAAACAAATCTATAGTCGGAGTTGGCGTTGGAAACACCATCGAACCACATAAACTTTTGAATTAAAAGCCTCAAAACAGGCTTTCCCTTGATCTTCACTGCCACACAACTAAGTATACGGTAACCGCCTTGATCTACCGTTCGATGCCATCCGTCGATGCCTGCTGGCGCCAAAAAAAACGCGTCCCGCCGAAATCGAGGGACCGGCAAAAAGTGAGAGACTGTGGACGTTTGGAGAGCGCAGACGGCCAAACGAGGGGTCGGCGACAACCATCGACCGTAGATCAAAAGACTATCACAAGGACACTTGTGATATTCAGTTTTGATCTAAAGTCAAGATCAAAGGAAAGTTAGGATTGAAGTTCACCGTATAAAATGCACATCATTGCAAAGGTTTTCCGACGCTGATTTCAAATATAGAAATCATTTTCGAATTTCGTGAAGTACAGTGATGAAAGTGAGTGTATGGGAGAGCACTG